GAAAATAAAGGTCCAGATAACAATAAAATAAAATAAGAAGAACAAAACCTAGGGGGGAAAAGAAAACAAAAGAATATACAAAAAGATGAGTCGTCACATGACGATAGCTTAGGGAGTGGCTGAGATCAGTTAAAGGATTCAAAGAGGGATTAAGGATCTACACATTTTCCTCCTGTCAGTTGTAACCCCATCACAAAAGGTATCCACTATATAAACTTGTGTTAACTCAGTTCTATACTTCCACATGGTTTTCTCACTGAATACCAACAGGTTTTTTAAACCGTATTAGTAAATGATTAGGAACGCGTTTTGAACGTAGGGCAATGGCTGATAATGAACGATGTTCGTGTATAACTGGTCTGCCCGTAGTCTGGCGTATCTCAGGCGTATCTCGTTGAAGCGGAAAGTTTCACGTGATCGTACGGCATAAATCTATGGCTGGAATCGCTCCCGGGAGATATGCGAATGCCTCGAGACTCGAGGGTAGCCACAATCGGCTGTCCGCTCACTTTTTCTTTGCGAAACGCAGCCGAGGTATCGCGGGTTTAAGTGTTCTTTAACCGTTGCGGCAGAACTAGGAAATGCGACTGAAACCGGCTGAGGCACGCACCGCGCGAATCTCGAACTTCGATTCCGACTCGTTCCAGTGGTTCTGGGTGAAAGAGAAAGTTCACCCAAGGAATTTAAAACCGGATCCAAATTCTAACGCTAGTTAAAAATATTTTTTACCAACACATCTAATCGTACTTTTTCTTCAGTCGTAGTCCTAATTGGACTTCGTAGTTGGATTCACTTAATGGCGTCCTCGACTGTGATGAACGAGTATACTTTAGATATCGTTAGAAGATTTCAACCACGAGTCAAGGTCGACCTGTGCGATGGTCTTTCGTCTCTAATGCGATGATAATTTGTCGAGATACATGCGCACTACTCGGAAACAAATTATGAATGGCGTTAAACGAATTTTTACATCACCATTAGATTCGTTTAACACAAACGATTCAGAGTTTTACGAAATAGACGTTTTATCGACACTCGACTGGAATGAGTAATAAAAATTGCTGAACGCAATTGTGCGAACGGGTTAACGCTTGGACTCTAACGTTTCTTCGTACGTGTTCCACTTGGGTATGCGATCGAGTAGCGGCGGCGACGGCGGCACGTTTGCGGGACCACTCCTTGTCGACGTTACACGGAATGGCAAATTGAAACCAGCCTTGACACAAGACGAACCTCCAACGTGCGCACCCTGCCAAATAGGTTTTGTCAGAAAATTAATTAACAAACCAAACTCTTATTCAATTACGAAGATTATGTTCTTTTTTGTTATTAAACACGTGATCAACGATCCTATGGGTTAGTTCTCAATGCCATTTTTCGTCCAGGTCCTCGCATTTGCCCCATTGCCCCCCCCTGTGGGTATAAAAAAAGTCGTCAGCGATTATCTCAGAGTCCAAACATTGGTTTTCAGTTTTCTATACTCATAAACCTTCAATCATGCCCTCTGCTTAAAGTATTAGGTTGGGGAATAAGTTCATAGCGTTTTTATAATTTCTTTTATTTTACAACGATTTGTTTGCTGTTTGCCAACGGGTAAGTATTCATTCGATAGAACTCTTTCTGCTCTACAAAACTATGTTAATTGTATTTTTGAGTTATTTAATTTTTTATTAGTTTTGAGGCTTAGAAATGGAATAACCAGTCGTGAATTGGCGGAAAAAATGAACTGCGATCATAAAACGATTCTATAATTGATTAACTTATTGATATAATTATTGTTTTTTGTTTAAATAAAAGTCTTCGGTAAAAACGGTACGAACTTATTCCCCAACCCAATATGATCGGATGGAACGATGATAGCGAGTGGCGCGGGGATCGGTTTTTGCCGCAAGCGCGCGGATTATACCCGCCTTGCCGCAATATCTTGGGAGAATACAAGTGAAAGGAACGGGTAGCGAGCGTGTACTTATTTTACGCCGGTACGCGTACACGTTCTAAGTATCTCTCGTCAAAATGCGATACATACCCTTTTCTTTTTTTTTTTGCCCGACGATGAATTATTTCACCGCGAGCGATGGAAACAGCAGCGACCATGCCCGCAGTAGGCGAAGAAAAATCGGGCTGGAATTACTAATTCCAGTCACGCCCGTTAACCGTCCGAGCTGGAACGGTATTGCCTTTTACTCCTCTATTGTTGCATGCTAACCGATTACCAACGCCGTTACGCAATAATTTCGTTACCTCAAGACGCATAAATATTACTATATACTACGTTTTTATGTATGTACGTTTCCTTATGTCTTTTGTTTCAGGAGGATTCAGATTTTGGAACGGGGAATGAATTAATTAGACCGGACGATGTCGAAATACGTGATCATTGCCATATCTCTTGTGTACGGTAGGTATCAGTTTAACGATTCAAAATGGTTTCTAGAACCTGGGTACACAGGCCGATAGGCGTAGACGCGTCTTACGTGACGTAAAAGGTTTCGGTATGAATGCTCGAGACGTTTCTTCATTACCAAATGGCTACTCTTTCCCACACTTAATGGTGGATGTGTATGCGTATAGAATGAAGAGATCGAGATGACTATGATAGTAATTTTATTGTTGAAGACATTCTTAAACCTGTACGGAGCAAGATCTCCATCAGAAGTTTAATAAAAAAAACTAAAAATGGTTGCCATTCAACTTAAGGATCCAAGACTTAATGACTCTTTTAGTAGTTCTTATGAAGAGATCGAGATGACTATGATAGTAATTTTATTGTTGAAGACATTTTTAAACCTGTACGGAGCAAGATCTCCATCAGAAGTTTAATAAAAAAAACTAAAAATGGTTGCCATTCAACTTAAGGATCCAAGACTTAATGACTCTTTTAGTAGTTTTGCGCAACTTTTAAAATTTATCAAGACAGGAAGTAATTTTTTATTTCTCCATTGAAGGCCAGCCATTTTTACTGATTTTGTAGTCCTAGTGTTAATTAAGAACTCATACGAGCTTTAAATAAAACAGCAATTGTAAATGTTGGTTACTGGAATTTGATGGGGGGGGGGGCATTGTTGAACGATATGCATTTGGTTTCACTTTTTAGTTGCAGGAGAATGCTCGGGGCAGGTTTACAAGAGTCACTCGGTCGAGACCGCTGTAGCAATCAAGCCAGCAGCGGTTGTGAACGATGATTTCATTACACAAACTGTCTACGGATTCCTGGATTTCACCACGACGATCGGAAACACGGTGATGGTGTTTAGTCCGCAGAGTGCACCCGCGGGTATAATTTTACTGCCATTCTTCCTTTACCGACGACTAGATAGTTCCTTTATATTCCCGCGAAGCTCGTAATAACTTTGATGCCACTGACGAATCACGATTTCGGTACCTATTTTTAAACAATGACAAAACCGCACGTTACGCAGTCCCGTGAAATGTGAGTACGATTATATAACGAGTCCTTGAGCTAGAAAGTGTACTCTTCGTCGGCAAGAGTCATAAAACAATTTCAGATTCACGCCTTCGTTTCTCTTCTTTTGTGACTTACCATCAGTCACAGGTATAGTCCAGTGCAGTGGTGGCGAACCTAACGGAGGTTTTTTAAATGACCCACCCATTGATTTTTATATCATAAAAGAGACGATAATTGAAAATATTAAAAACTAATTACCAGGTAGACGGTTTTCTGTCATATCACTCCTCCTCAATGACTCATGACAGTCGGTTATAATCTTGGCACGCATATTCGTTAGGCACGAGGTGTCACCTAGTAATTCATGGTATCAGTTCATTGATATCAATTTTTTGTCATACAAAACGGAAGAACTGTCTTAGAAGGTTTTAAAAGTGAGAACCAAGAAAAGGTCAACTGTCAAATTATTGTCCCCCCTTTCTAAGTGACCCACAGTACAAATTTTGAATAATGAACATTGAAGGACAAAATATGATCCAAAATCTCAAAAAAATTCGCCATTACTGATATTGTTGGATCTCTTCATATCCCTCCCCCTTTCTAAGTGACACCATTGACTTAGTGACCCACAGATTAGTACAAATTTTGAGTAATGAACGTTCAAGGACAAAATATGACCCAAAATCTCAAAAAGATTCGCCATTACTGATATTGTTGGTGCCCTTTTTATCCCCTCCCCCTTTCTAAGTGACGCCACTGACTTAGTGACCCACAAACTAGTACAAATTTTGAGTAATGAACGTTGGAGGACAAAATATGACCCACAATCTCAAAAAGATTCGCCATTACTGATATTGTTGGATCTCTTCATATCCCTCCCCCTTTCTAAGTGACGCCACTGACTTAGTGACCCACAAACTAGTACAAATTTTGAGTAATGAACGTTGGAGGACAAAATATGACCCACAATCTCAAAAAGATTCGCCATTACTGATATTGTTGGATCTCTTCATATCCCTCCCCCTTTCTAAGTGACGCCACTGACTTAGTGACCCACAAACTAGTACAAATTTTGAGTAATGAACGTTGGAGGACAAAATATGACCCACAATCTCAAAAAGATTCGCCATTACTGATATTGTTGGATCTCTTCATATCCCTCCCCCTTTCTAAGTGACGCCACTGACTTAGTGACCCACAAACTAGTACAAATTTTGAGTAATGAACGTTGGAGGACAAAATATGACCCACAATCTCAAAAAGATTCGCCATTACTGATATTGTTGGATCTCTTCATATCCCTCCCCCTTTCTAAGTGACGCCACTGACTTAGTGACCCACAAACTAGTACAAATTTTGAGTAATGAACGTTGGAGGACAAAATATGACCCACAATCTCAAAAAGATTCGCCATTACTGATATTGTTGGATCTCTTCATATCCCTCCCCCTTTCTAAGTGACGCCACTGACTTAGTGACCCACAAACTAGTACAAATTTTGAGTAATGAACGTTGGAGGACAAAATATGACCCACAATCTCAAAAAGATTCGCCATTACTGATATTGTTGGATCTCTTCATATCCCTCCCCCTTTCTAAGTGACGCCACTGACTTAGTGACCCACAAACTAGTACAAATTTTGAGTAATGAACGTTGGAGGACAAAATATGACCCACAATCTCAAAAAGATTCGCCATTACTGATATTGTTGGATCTCTTCATATCCCTCCCCCTTTCTAAGTGACGCCACTGACTTAGTGACCCACAAACTAGTACAAATTTTGAGTAATGAACGTTGGAGGACAAAATATGACCCACAATCTCAAAAAGATTCGCCATTACTGATATTGTTGGATCTCTTCATATCCCTCCCCCTTTCTAAGTGACGCCACTGACTTAGTGACCCACAAACTAGTACAAATTTTGAGTAATGAACGTTGGAGGACAAAATATGACCCACAATCTCAAAAAGATTCGCCATTACTGATATTGTTGGATCTCTTCATATCCCTCCCCCTTTCTAAGTGACGCCACTGACTTAGTGACCCACAAACTAGTACAAATTTTGAGTAATGAACGTTGGAGGACAAAATATGACCCACAATCTCAAAAAGATTCGCCATTACTGATATTGTTGGATCTCTTCATATCCCTCCCCCTTTCTAAGTGACGCCACTGACTTAGTGACCCACAAACTAGTACAAATTTTGAGTAATGAACGTTGGAGGACAAAATATGACCCACAATCTCAAAAAGATTCGCCATTACTGATATTGTTGGTGCCCTTTTTATCCCCTCCCCCTTTCTAAGTGACGCCACTGACTTAGTGACCCACAAACTAGTACAAATTTTGAGTAATGAACATTGAAGGACAAAATATGACCCAAAATCTCAAAAACAGTCGCCATCACTGGTCTAGTGATTTTTTCATTAGTTTCTTTCATTGAAATCTTAAACGAATGGAAGTTTAGGAAGATTTTAACTATTGACCCTGACTCCTAGACGGTGAGAAGGAAAAGAAGATCAGTGGGTCGATAATTGAAACGAAACCGAGCGAGAAGAAGGAAAAGGCACACGACATTCAACCGAGCAAGACCCGCAAGGGGAACACCGAGGAGGAGACGAAGAAACAAGCAAAAGGCACGAAGGTCGTAGTGAATTCCGTGATCGAACAGAACGCAATCAACCCAGCCGATGACAATGGGACCCGATCACCGAGAAGTCAGGCAAGACTATAATTGAGAAATAATCTACTCATATGAAGGCATCAATTTTCATACTTCCTTATGATGCAAACGGTTTAAAATATTCATAGAAAGAACTAGGAAGCGGATTGCTTTCGCTTTCGTAAAGTTAATTTCTCCTGAGCCATCGTTCTTATCTATCTACGTTTACCACGCGCGCCACACGTGAGGTTTCTACTTTCGAACGCGGGTCCACGTAAAACTTAACGAGCATAATAACTTCTGCGCCGTAGGAGATTCTAGAATTTTTATGGTGTTACAGGAACCGAGCGTTCAAATGACAAAGAGCCCGGTGGTGTCCTCGCAGGTGCAAGTAAAATCGAAGGACGAAACGCCGGTCGTTAAGAACAATCTTGCGGAACCTGAATATGATTTCTTGTCGAAACAACCCACCGAGGTGGTCGACGAGACTTACAAGGTAAGAAAACGCACTGCTTTCTATTTTTTCCCATTACTTATACAGGATGTCCCAAAACTAGTGTAAGATATTGAAATTGGAGGTTCCTCACGTAATTTTAAACAATATTTTCCTTAACGAAAAAATTATCTGAGGTGGGGTTGAGGAGTTATTAACAAAAAACCTCGACCAATCAGAACGCTCGATTGGCGCGAGCTACGAATCGGAAGTGTTGGCTCGGATCCGGACGCCTGGCCTATCAACAATCTATCATTTCTTAATTATAAATTTTTTAATTATAAATTTGAATAACGATTAAATATATTAATTGTTATTAATTTCCTTGCATTGTTATTCATGTAGTTTATTATTCGCCATTTTCTTAAAACGCTTCGTATTAAGCGGAGCGGTTGTTCAAAGGCTGGGCGTCCGGATACGAGACAACGCTCCCGATTGGCAGCTCGCGCCAACAGAGCGCTCTGATTGGTCGATGGTTTTTTGTTAATAACTCCTCAACCATGCATGGGACAACTTTTTCGCTAAGGAAAATGTTGTTTAAAATGACGTGAGGAACCTCCCATTTCAATATCTTACACTAGTTTTGGGAGACCCTGTATAAAATTCAATTGAATCGTACGACGGTAGTATTACTAGATGTACGCGGGACGTGAAGCCTTCGCGTTCCAAATCATTGATCGATGATGCAATTCTACGCCCATTAAGTTTTCTCTCGGCGCATACGATTAACATTGACACGGATCGTACTACCGCTACGTATAAGTAACGAGATAAGGGGACCATAAAATCTGGTTCGCCTCAGAACTATAATTAACAGATTCGCAAACGCGTACTTGCTGTGAAATGTTTTGTACGGGAAGATTGTCACGCGAGACGAAACAGTTTTAATATTAGGAGCACATGCTAGCGTGTTGAATTTGTTATTATAGTTTCTATTAC